AGTGTTTCTAAACCAACTGAAGCAAGTCTGTGTAGTGTAAATAAGAATTCGTGTGTTTTGGTTGCAGAGTCCTGGTTAGCGCGGTCGTGAGCGCGGCCGCCGCCCAGCGGACGCCCGCCGCCGCCAGCCAGGGCGTCATCGAGTACTCGTTCCCGCGCTCTCGAACTCCCATCGAGACTGCACTGAACCCCGCCTGGCGGGTGGGCAACGTCCTGACGCAGCGCCTGTTTGGCGGCGGCAGCGCGGCCCCGCAGACCGTCACGGCGCTGCGAGTGCGCAAGGTGAGTCCCGGCGCGCCGCGGAGGTAGCCCACCCATCGGGCTCGGACTGGGCTCGGCTCGCACAGATTATCTCGCAGCAGCACACCATCTTGAAAATAGCAGTAGTTATTGTCCAAGCAAAAAGTAGCTGTTATAATTCAATGGAAAATTCCCCATTCGCAGAGAAAAAGAAACTGCCTCACACTACCAAATATAAAATTTGTTTCGGGTGGGACAACAGGCCAACAACAATCCTGTTTCAACGCTACCTGTTTAATTTTGCGTGACTGTGCGGTAGGCTGCGTGACTAGAGTAGCGAAAGGAAAACATTACTAGTCAACTGTGAATGGGATGCTTAGGATGGTTACAAGGCAGAGTGCTATTTCATTGGTTTTATTCACATTATTGCTGGAACATAAAAATATTTCAACTTACGACTTTATTAAGTTTGTGTATGTAGAACAGCTTAAGTAGTTCCAAATTCGCGCCCCTGTTGTAGAATCTGCAGGGCAGCGACGGCCGCAGCTTCCCGTGCAACGTGACGCTGGCCAGGTCGGCGACCAGGCCCACCTCCGTCCACCGGCTGCGGCCCGGGGACGTGGACGTGGTGGCCTCCATGGGGGACTCGCTGACCGCCGCCAACGGCGCCATGGCGCTCAACGTTCCGCAGGTGACCAACGAGAACCGGGGCTTGTCCTGGTCCGGGGGTAAGGTAGCCGAGCGGGCTCACTGTGAGAATGCACTACCAGAAGTACACCTCGATCCGTTGCCTCACTCTCCTCTTCGGTCACTTAGGCGGCCAGGGCACGTGGCGGGAGTACCTGACCCTGCCGAACATCCTGAAGGAGTTCAACCCGGCGCTGGTGGGCTACTCTCTGAAGGACTCGCGCGCCTTCCAGAAGGCCTCGGTGTTCAACGTGGCCGAGATCAACTCGATGAGTCAGGACCTCCCTTGGCAGGCGAGCAACCTCGTCAAACGAATGCGGTCCGACCCTCGCGTGGACCTGCAGCGAGACTGGAAGGTTCACACAGAAACGCCCGTTAGAGAAACGATTTTCATTCCACTTCTTCAAGCACGATTTCTGGCAAGCAACCGTTCTCTGCACAGGTCATCACGATCCTCGTGGGTTCCAACGACTTCTGCTCCGACATGTGTTTCCGGAAGGACCCGGAGTCCCTCCCCGAGCAGCACCGCCAGGACCTCAGAGAGTCCCTGCGGATCCTCAAAAAGCACCTACCTCGAACCTTCGTGAACCTCGTTACCCAGCCGGGTATTGTCATAGCTATTACAATCAGTCACAACCAGCTAGGCGTACACGAAAAGGAAAAAAACAATTAGCAAAATTAGCTAATGCATTTGCTAATATAGCCTTAGATTAGAATATTACCTCTCCTGGATAATTTTTAGCTAAGAGAGCTAATAAATTAGCTTTCACAGCTAGTTGCTCTATTTCGTAGACAACTGCCATGGCTATTTTTTTTAGATCTTAGCTAAGAATAAGCTAATATTCTAATCTTAAAGGCCACATATTAGCTAATTTAGCTTTAAAAAAATTCGTTTACGGTGTGAGTCAGTGCTCTACAATGTATGACTGCTCTAGACCTGGGCCGCATCCTGACCACCATGAAGAACACCTCGCCGTTCTGCGAGCTGCTGCGGCGCTTTGCGTGCTCCTGTCTGTACGGCGAGCCCACCAAACCAATTCGCGGCCGCATGAGGAAGATCATCGAACGTTACATCCAGGTGGAGTGGGAGATGGTAAGGTGTACCACACGCTACTATGTTCATGGTCAACAGTCCCCCATTCACTCTGCTTTAACAGCAAAGATTTTCATATTTTTTTTAGGGCGATGACCCAGAGTTTCAAACCGACGATTTTGCACTGGTGGTTCAACCGTACACGTACAAGCTAAACTTTCCGATGAAGAACGAGAATGCCACAGACTTTAGCTACCTGGCTCCAGACTGCTTCCACTTCAGCCAGCGGGGATACGCCCGAGGTGAGCTGCTTCCCATCAAACAAATAGATTTAACGTGTCCTTTTTTTTGGCTTGGGGTGGTGTTGTTCCGTTCCCCGTACCCTCTATGCCTCACTAAATACCGAGTACGACGGGCCACACAAACAAGTGAAATAAGCCTCTAAAAAGTACAAACCCAAATTCAAAATTCTATAAATGATGAGTGAAATTTCCCGAAAATTTATGAAATTAAAGCTTGCAAAAGTCAACCGAAGTTATGAAAATTACCCATAACGTTTCAATTTTAATCGCAGTTATTGAAATTTCAACAAGCGGCACGCGGTAGGAAAAAATTTGGCGGAAATGCACTAAAATTCAAGCTCATTTCCATAGGCCACGCAATGGCTTTCGCGGTTTATTTTTCATGGCGGTTGTGTGTCATGGGTGCCGCGCACTTTAGGGCCTCACGAAACGTCATTTGTGTCCCCAGCCGCCAACGCCGTGTGGAACAACATGCTGGAGCCCGTGGGACGCAAGTCCACCGACTGGACGGACATTTTCGAGCGCTTCCTCTGCCCCACCGAGGAGCACCCCTACCTCTACACGCGTGGAAACAGCTAGTGCGAGGCAGCCAGCCCAGGAGAGGGATGGCGATGTCCCCAGGACCCGGGCGAAATGGGATTTCGACCAGCCCACTCGCGCGAAGCGGAAGTGGCAGTTTTCCGCGCCGATGAGGACTCCGGTTCACCCTTCCATCTCCACCTCCCCTTCCGCGCCACTTCGGCGTGAAGTGATTCTGCAATTGTGATATAGAGTACATCGTGCGTGTGTGTGAATAAGTGATTGGCAACAAACAAGTTTTAAGAGACGCATCGGCACCGCGTCTTTCTGATATTTTGCTCAGTGCTAAAGTACAACTTGTCCAATTGTGATTTTATGTGTTTACTCTCCGAAATGGAGAGGAAATATTAGCCCTGTCCTTGGTTTTTCGCTAAGGCAGAAATTAAGACTGAAAAAAATTATAATTTTAAACATTTTTCTAGTAAGTAGTGCCTTTTGGATGCTATCGTTTATAATACTTTTCACTCTGAATCGTATTTGTTTCCGCTGCGGCCAAGTTAGTTAAGTATTTATCCTAATACTGCGATTACAATATGAACGCACTTACTTTTTGATTCCTCCTCTACATTCGTATTTTACGTTTCTGTGTGATAATTTATTTTACTTTTTGTAAAAATAGGACAGATGGCAGTTTAACGATGAGTTCCCCGCAACTCGCGCCATCTGTGTTCAAAACTCATAATAAACGAACGAAGACGTAGCATAAAGTTGGTTTACTCCTGACCCCCGCGGTCCATGCAGTTAAGATTTTTGTTTTTGTCGTTTTCAGGCGCCGAGCGTGGAAACGACCATTGTTATTTCTTAAACTGGATGTAGCACGCGACTCTCCACATTGACACTTCTCAACACTACACCGTATTTACGGTAGTTGGGCTGGACGGCACCAACAAGGTGCTCCGCCACTGTAAAAAAATATGTTCGTACATGTACGATACATTTTGTAATTTGCCATTTACAATACGAGTCGCACATGTACAACCTCCCTTACTCTCGCTCGTTATTCAATTCCAAGTCGATAACGTAGGGCTCGTTTAAATTTTACAATTTTAAATTGTAATTGTACGACTTCTTCCATGGAAAAATTTCCTGTGTACCCCGGTGCGACAATTTTTTTTTTTTTTTACGGTGGCGTGCTGCGCCTGGGGACGTTAGCCCAGTTGGCGGTGCTAATTGCATCTTGCTGTGTAGTTCGCCTCCCCGCACAGTTCTCATTACCGACAAACTAGAGGAGAGCGAGAGAGGGAGAGCGGCGGGCTGGCGGCGAGTGGCTGGCTGCTGGGTCGCCGCTGCTGCTGCGGACCGCCCTGCCCTGCCTGCGGCTGGCTGTGGCGCCTGCCGAGAGCGGGGTAGGCAAGCCCGTCGCACACGAGTGCGTGGCCGTGCTGCCTACCACGCGGGCGCTCGGCGGTCTCTGCCGTTGTTTGTCTTTTGCGGAGGTAAAAGAGTGTTAAAACTGTGGTCAACAGATACAATGTATACTTATAGCACTGTTTATTTATTTCGTCGGAATAAGTTTACAGTTCACCAAAAAACAGTGCAGGCTCTCGATGAAAAATATCACATGCACAGAAGTTTAATAAACACGCCTCCTGAAGCGCGCTGACAATAAAACACTCCTCTGTCAAATATTGGAAGAAAATGTTGTCTCGGGTGCTAAAAATCGCTTCTAGTTTCTAGGTTGGGAGAGTCTATCAAAATATCTATGTAATTCAGTAATTATTTATTTTTACTTTATGGCAGAAGACTTAATTTAATACGTTCTTAATCGCGATGACTTAACTCTATAGGACTTAATTAGTAGGACTCATTACTTCGGGTGGAATAAGCCAACCGTTTGTCGATACGTACAGTAACATGGTTTCTGTTTAATATAAAGTCTAGTCACCTCAAAAAGTCATGTGTTTTGAGAAGATACAAACAATCGCTTGAAATATGTACAGGCGATACTTTTGAAAGGCGCAAATATGTACAGGTCCCTCTATTGCACTGTTTCATTATTTCCCGAAGACAGCCGATCAAATCCTGAAACAAAGAAGCAAAATACTCATTAGCGCCCGTTGAACTTTCGATGGATACGAAAACGTTTTCCACCTCAAAATTTGTTTCTGTAAATACAGGAAAAACAAGATGAAACAAAAATCACAACCTCATCAACGGAAAACGTTGATATTGAGCAGCAAAGGCAGGGTATTTGAACCACAGTCGGCGCGGGACACCTTTGCTCTCACTTCCCTCCATATATGTAGTGCGCCTCGGGCCACCGTGACCTTTGATCCCAATCCAGATTGACCAGGCGCCCGACCCCAGTCAGCTTATCCCATCGCATCCCTGCCCCCTGGCCCTGGGGCGAGCCAGGGACGGCTCGGGATACCGATGGCCAATGCAGCAAACTGCTTGATATGCCAGTAGTATGCTTTGGTGGGGCTTGGCGATGCGAGGCTTGGCGAGGCGGGGCTTGGCGAGCGTGTTGGTTGTGGTGCCCTCCTAGCCCCCCGCCTCGTCCTTCAATATCGTCGACCTTTCCCGGCCCAGCCCACTTGATATCGTACTACACCCTGCAAACGCCCCAACCCCTATCACCCCCCACTGCGAACATTTCACACGTCAGTCGTCAGGCTTTGTCACCTTCCAAGGTCGTACGCCGTCCAGGGAGATGAACAGCCTACGACGTAGGAGTACGTGCAGCAGCCCGTAGTGGCTGAGCTTTAGTCGTTAGTGTGCTAAAATTCTCAAATGTGACGGTTAAAGGAATATAGTAATAGTATGTACAGATGGGAGGCCAGGGAAGAACAGGAAAGAGGGGGGGG